GTTCCGATGCTTTTTAACTTGTTCATTAATGATTTGGAGTTGGGAGTAAGCAGTGAAGTGGCTAAATTTGCAGATGACACAAAGTTGTTCAGGGTGGTGAAAACCAGTGAGGATTGTGAGGCACTCCAAAAGGATCTATCGAGGATGGGCGAGTGGGCGTCAACATGGCAAATGGGGTTCAATGTGGCCAAGTGCAAGGTGATGCACATTGGAGCCAAAAATCCTATCTATACATACACGTTGAATGGGGATCGAACTGGCAGAGACTGATCAAGAGAGAGATCTTGAAATTGTAGTAGATAACTCACTGAAAATGTCGAGACAGTGTGCGACTATGCTGGGGATTATTAGGAAGGGTATTAAAAACAGATCAGTCAATATCATAATCAATGATCCCTCTAAGCTGTGGAGTCTTGTGAGCAAAAATTCTGCTTTGTGAGCTACTGGCATTAAAGTTGTGAGTGATTTGCGTACTGCATAAATTAGTTTGCTCTGGAGCCATCCTTCCTGAGCTGAGACAAAAATGTGTGAGCCAGAGGCTAAAAAACTGTGAGCTAGCTCACACTAACTCAGCTTAGAGGGAACACTGATCATAATGCCCCTCTATAAATCAATGGTGCGATCTCATTTGGAGTACTGTGTACAGTTCTGGTCACCACACCTTAAAAAGGATATTATAGCTTTGGAAAAAGTGCAGAAAAGGGCAACTAGAATGATAAAAGGGTTGGAACACTTTCCCTATGAAGAAAGGTTAAAGCGTTTGGGGCTCTTTAGCTTGGAGAAATGACGGATGAGGGGTGACATGATTGAGGTTTATAAGATTATGCATGGGATAGAGCAGGTGGAGAAAGAGGTACTTTTCTCCCTTTCTCAAAATACAAGAACTCGTGAGCTGAGCGGTCAGGTTAGAACAGATAAAAGGAAGTCCTTCTTCGCCCAAAGAGTGATTAACACTTGGAATTCACTGCCACAGGAAGTGCTGGTGGCTACAAGCATGGACGGCTTCAAAAGGGAATTAGATATATGGAGCAGAGGTCCATCAGTGGCTATTAGCCACAAGATATAGACAGGGACTCTGGGGCAAGTGATGCTCTGTCATCTTGGTGCTTGGGGGTGGGGGTCAACAGTGGGGGGGCTTCTAGTGTCCTGGCCCCACTGCTGGACCTCCTGATGGCACCTGGTATTTTTGGCCACTGTATGACAGAGTGTTGTTGGACTGGATGGGCTATTGGCCTGATCCAACATTGGCGTCTCTTATTTTCTTATGACAGGAGCAATGCGCCCTCTAAGCTGTGGAGTCTCCTTGTGATCAAAAATCCTACTTTGTGAGCTCCTGGCATTAAAGTTGTGAGCAAGCAATTTGGCTGCTGCATAAATTAGTTTGCTCCGGAGCCCTCCTTCCTGAGCGAAGACAAAGATGTGTGAGCCAGAGGCTAAAAAACTGTGAGCTAGCTCACACTAACTCAGCTTAGAGGGAACACTGGACAGGAGAGGTCTGAAATCCCACCGCCCTCCCGGCCTCTTATACAGGTCTTCACCTGAGGTCACCCCCCTAATGGTCTCCTCTGCTTTCTTCCAGGATCCTGACCGCGCTCTACAATGGAAAAACTGCTTTTGTGTCTGCTGCTCATTGGCTTAGTTGTGAAGGCCCAGATCTGCCCCAAGCGCTGCGTGTGCCAGATCCTCTCTCCAAACCTTGCGACTCTTTGTGCCAAGAAAGGGCTTCTGTTTGTCCCTCCCAACATTGACCGGAGGACTGTGGAGCTGCGGCTGGCGGACAACTTTGTGACCAACATCAAGCGGAAGGATTTTGCCAACATGACCAGCTTGGTGGATCTGACGCTCTCGCGGAATACAATTAGCTTCATCACACCCCATGCCTTTGCGGACCTCCGGAACCTGCGGGCTCTGCACCTGAACAGCAACCGCCTGGCCAAGATCACCCACGACATGCTCAGCGGCCTCTCCAACCTGCACCACTTGATCCTGAACAACAACCAGCTCACCCTGATCTCCTCCACGGCCTTTGACGACGTCTTGGCTCTCGAGGAGCTGGATCTGTCCTACAACAACCTGGAGACGATCCCGTGGGACACCGTGGAGAAGATGGTCAGCTTGCACACCCTCAGCCTGGACCATAACATGATTGACAGCATCCCGAAAGGGACCTTCTCCCACCTCCACAAGATGACCCGGTTGGACGTCACGTCCAACAAGCTGCAGAAGCTGCCCCCCGACCCCCTCTTCCAGCGGGCCCAGGTCCTGGCCACCTCCGGCATCATCAATCCCTCCACCTTCGCGCTGAGCTTTGGAGGGAACCCACTGCACTGCAACTGCGAGCTCCTGTGGCTGAGGCGGCTGTCCAGGGAGGATGACCTGGAGACCTGCGCCTCTCCCCCTCTCTTGTCGGGGCGCTATTTCTGGTCCGTCCCAGAGGAGGAGTTCCTGTGCGAGCCCCCCCTCATCACGAGGCACACCCACGAACTACGGGTGCTGGAGGGCCAGAGGGCGATCCTGAGGTGCAAGGCCCGTGGGGATCCAGAGCCCGCCATCCACTGGATTTCCCCCGAGGGCAAGCTGATCTCCAACGCAACGCGGTCGCTGGTGTACGACAACGGGACCCTCGATATCCACATCACCACCATGAAGGACACCGGCGCGTTCACTTGCATCGCCTCCAACCCGGCAGGGGAAGCCACGCAGTCTGTGGACCTCCACATCATCAAGCTGCCCCACATACTGAACAGCACGAACCACATCCACGAGCCGGACCCCGGCTCCTCGGACATCTCGACTTCCACCAAGTCTGGCTCCAACGCCAGCAGTAGCAACGGGGAAACAAAAGTCAGCCAGGACAAGAAGGTGGTCGTGGCAGAAGCCACGTCCTCCACGGCCCTGCTTAAGTTTAATTTCCAAAGGAATATACCCGGGATACGTATGTTCCAGATCCAGTACAATGGGACTTACGATGACTCCCTTGTTTACAGGTAAGAGACTCCCACAACCCCCCTCTGCTTCCCGCCTGCCTCGAAAGCCCCTCGCTGGGGTCACCGTAAGGCAGTTGTGAGTTGACGGCGCACCCGTGTGCAAGAGACTCCTCGCGGCTGACAGCGCCGGGTTGGGAAACTCCTGGAGATTTGGGGGTGGAGCCTTGGGGAGGGCGGGGTTTGGGGAGGGGAGGGGCTTCAGCCGGGTAGAATGGCATAAAGTCTACCCTCCGAAGCAGCCCTTTTCTCCAGGGAGGGGATTTATCTCTGTCCCTTGGGGAGCCACTGCAGTCCCCAGAGATTTCCAGCCTCCCCCCAAAGGCCGGCAGGCCTGAGACTCCGGAACCAGTGAGGCGTGTGACTGCGGCCACTTCCTTTGTCTGTGGTCGACTTCAGGGATCTGCTGGGTGGGCCCGATGCGAGGGACGGGCTGGGTCTGCTGCACCAGAGATCGAGCGGGGAGGTACCCAGCCAGCCGGCAGGTGGGCTTCGGAGGGGGAGAGACTCCTTGTCCCTCGCCCTGATGGTCTTGGAGAAGGGTTGGAAGTGCTGTGGGGTGTGGGGGCTGGGCTTGGAGGCAAGCACGGCTGCAACTGGTCTTTTATCCCATGAGGATGTTTAGCAGTTATTTCTGTCGAATTCTGAAATGAGCAGGGGGTTTTTTTGTGTGTGTGTGTGTGTGTGTGTGTGTGTAGACATAGTCTGGAGTTTGGCTGTGGAGACTTGCATGTCTCGCCCTTAGCACTCGTGGAGCCTGCGAGTCACGATGGGCATTTGCAGCGGGAGCCAGCCTCTGCATACCAGTGCGAGGAGGCAGCGTGGCAGGACGGCCTTGGCCTTCGGGTCCCGTTTGCCTGGCTAACCGGTTGGCCGCTGCATGGAAGAGGTGGCTGGACTGGGTGGACTCCCACTGGTCCGATTCAGCAGGGCTCTGCTGATGTTCCTCTGCTGGGCCACCCTACCCTGCGGCCTGTCCAGTGCTTTGCTTTGGGCCTGAGTCACGGCCGTGGATCTAGAACTTGGGCCCGGGTGCATTGCAGAGGAGCAAAAGAAGAGACCAAGGAAACATAACTCAGTGGAGGGAAGGGCGGGGCAGTCGAGGGAGGGTGTTTGGCTTGGCCTGGGGAGACGCATGGCCAGCCTAAGTGGGAGTGGTCAGGAGAGCTGCGGAAACCTCCGAGGCTCCTCTGTGGCCCGGTCTTCCGGCTGAGGCAAACTGGAGACCTGTCTTTCTCCTCCCTAGGCAAGGGTCTCTCTAGTTCAGTTCCCCATCCTTGGACTGGGGGAATTTCACCACGTTCGTAGCAATGAAAGAGAGACGGCAGTGGTGTTCAACTCTGGCAGTAGATCATGTCTCTGAGACAGTAAGGAGGTGGGAAAACCGAGGTGTGTTGTCCTGAATGTTCTGTCTGAGATCAAGGTGTGGTTTCCTCCCAGATCAAAATGGCTCAAGAATGGGACATTGGGAAAAGGGTTTAATTGCGTTCCCCGGCACATCAGGTAGCATGGCCAGTCCCTTCATAGAATCATAGAGTTGGAGGGGACCATCACGGTCATCTAGTCCAAACCCCTGCACAAGGTATGGAGTTCACAAATACCTCCCCGCCACGCCCCCAGTGACTACTGTTCCATGCCCAGAAGATGACAAAAAACCTCCAGGATCCCTGGTCAAACCAGCCTGGAGAAAAATTGCTTCCTGACCCCAAAGTGGCAATCAGCATTTCCCTGGCCGTGTAAAAAAAGGCCACAAGAACTAAGCCCTGAGGCAACCCTTCCTGCCCTCCCTCTCATGATCTGCCTAAGTTCACAGAATCCACATTGCTGTCAGATGGCCATCTAGCCTCTGTTTGAAAACCTCCAAAGAAGGAGAACCCACCACCTCCTGAGGAAGCCTGTTCCACTGAGGAACCACTTTTAACTGTCAGGAAGTTCTTCCTCATGTTTAGCTGAAAATTCGTTTGATTTAATTTCAACCCATTGGTTCTGGTCCAACCTTCTGAGGCAACAGAAAACAACTCCACACCATCCTCTATATGACAGCCATTCAAGTACTTGAAGATGATTATCATATCACCTCTCAGTCATCTCCTCTCCAGGTTAAGCATACCCAGCTCCTTCAACCTTTCCTCACAGGACTTGGTCTCCAGATCCACCACCATCTTTGTTACTCTCCTCTGGATACGTTCCAGCTTGTCTAGATCCTTCTTAAATTGTGGTGCTCCAAATTGGACACAATACTCTGGGTGAGGTCTAAACAGAGCCGAGTAAAGTGATACCATCACTTCACGTGATCTGGACACTACACTTCTGTTCAGGGGTCATTTCGTAGAAAAAGAGCTGCAGGAGCTCTTTAGCATACCTAATAAGCTATTAACATAATAGCTTATTAGCATATTTATTTTATGTATTTATTTAGGTATTTTTACCCCGCCCTCCCCGCAAGCGGGCTCAGGGCGGCTTACAGAGGGCGACAGCCCATGCATAAAATCCATAAAACAGTAAAATCATAGCAGCAATTATACATAACAACAGTGATAAATAAGATAAATAAGCATATGTCATGCCCCCTGATATCACCGGAAGTGATGTCAGACGGGAAAGCAAAAGTAGGGGGCATCTTCAAAAGCCTCCCCATTCAGGGGAAGGGGGGAAGCGAAGAGAGAAAGGGTTCAAAGTTTATCCCCCTTCTCTCTAGAGTCACGCCGCTCCTCTATAGGGCCGTAGAATATAATGGAAAGATCACGCCATCGCCACCGCACGACTCCAGAGAGAAGGGGGTTAACCCCTTCTCTCTGGAGTCGCACCACAGCGGCGGCACAATCTCTCCATTGTATTCTATGGGGCAACTCTAAAAAGAAGGAGCTTGGGGGTGGGGGTGGGGAGCTGGGAGCAGGGCTTGCCGCCACCACCACTTGTCCCTGCTCCTGGGCTCCCGGAGCAGCGCTCCGGCACACTCCAAGCCCAAACAACCTCTGTTTCTGTTGATGCAGCTCAAAATGGCATTTGCCTTTTTAGCTACCGCACCACACTGCTGACTCGTGCTCCATGTATGGGCCATTAAGATCCTAGATCCTTTTTGCACATACTACTGCCAAGACAAATCTCCCCCAATGTATAATTATGCATTTGATTTTTTTGCTTCCTTAATGCAAAGTTTACATTTATCCCCACTGAAATTCATTTTATTTGTTTTGGCCCGGTTTCCCAGCCTGTCGAGATCTATGCAAGTGATAAAGCATAGATCTTTTTTCCCCTCTGCAGAGTCTTCCTCTTCAGAGTCTCCCATCCAAGTACTGACCCCACTTAGCTTCTGAGATCGGATGAGATGGAGCTGCATGAGAGCATTCCCCCCCCTCCCCGAGTGCTCTACAGACTGCTGGGTAGTCTTCCTCCTCTGAAGCGTTCCCTTTCTGTGTGCCATCCCCTTTCAGCTTCCAGAGCAGAAATGACCCCCTGAGGGCCAGGGGCAGCAGAAGCCAGCAGGGAACAGGGTTTTGTGGGTCATATCCCACAGGGGGGAGTCCTGGGAGGATGCAGCTCCGCTGACGCGGGATTCCCCCTCCCCGTCAAATCCAGCGGCCACAAGCTCTGCTTTGATTCGAGTGAGTCCTCCTCTCAGCTGCCTGCTAACCCTTCTCTCTGTTGTCCGCTAGAATGATACCTCCCACGAGCAAAACCTTCCTGGTCAACAACTTGGCTGCGGGGACGATGTACGACTTGTGTGTCCTGGCGATCTACGACGACGGCATCACCTCCCTGACAGCCACGCGCGTGGTGGGCTGCATCCAGTTCACGACGGAGCAGGACTACGTGCGCTGCCATTTCATGCAGTCCCAGTTCCTGGGGGGGACCATGATCATCATCATCGGGGGCATCATCGTGGCCTCGGTCCTGGTCTTCATCATCATCCTCATGATCCGCTACAAGGTGTGTAACAATGGCGGGCACCACAAGGTGACCAAGGTCAGCAACGTTTACTCCCAGACCAATGGGGCGCAAGGCCAGGGGTGCAGTGGAGCCGCCATGCCCCCGTCCGGCTCCAAGCAGGCCGTGGGGCACGAGGACAGCTTGCAGTGCTGCAAGGTGAGCAGCGACGGCGCGACGCGCTCCTCGGACGCCTGCTCCAGCCAAGACTCTTCCACCGCTACCTCCACTTTGCCTCAGGCGTGGACTCCGGGCCCCTCTGCTTCCCAAAAGCTGAAGCGGAAGCCCATGCCAAAACCGGGCAGTGAGCCGCTGCCCCCCAGCGAAGGTGCCGCCCCCAGCCTGGAGGCCCAGAACACGAACCGCAACAACTCCACGGCCCTGCAGTTGCCCAGCCGGCCCTCGGACTTGGCCAAGGGGGCCCCCGTATACAAAAGAGCACAAGCCAAGCCAAGTAAGTTCCTCACGTTGCCGGCCGACCCCTCCCGGGCAAAGCGCAGGTACTCCCTGAACGGAGAATTCATGGAATACCACTGTTACGTTAGCTCCCCGGCCCCGGGGGGATTCTGGTCCAAGCGGAGCTTGTCTATGAATGGGATGCTCACGCAGACGGAGGGCTCCGAGGTGGATGGTGGCAAAGCAACTTTCCCCAGTTCTGAGTGGATATTGGAGAGCACCGTCTGAGCCGCCGTGGTGTGTCTCGTTTTGTTTTTTTAATTTAAAGAAGGACGGCGAGGCCCACTTCTCCCAAACGCCGTCCGAGAACTCGCGTAGCTTCCTGGGCGGGGGCGCTTCCGGCCCCTCTCGTGCCCGCGCAGAGTCGGGCGAGTTCCTGCTGGGGTCTTATTTTATGTCATGCAGCAAAGCTCATTTTTTTAAAAAGAAAAAAAGAAATAAGTATATCTGTTTAAAGGGGAGCAGCATGAAATAACACCCGTGCCTTCTCCTCCTCCCCTAGGACTGCCGTCCTGATTCCACAGTAGCCGAAGGAAAAGAGCCTCTTTACACAAAAGGGGATCGCCCTGCCCTCCACACCAACCAACGGCCACTTAATGGATCGATCAGTATTATACAGTTTTTTAAGTGATCCGGCTCTCTCCCTCCCTCTCTCTCCCTCTCTGCCATTTCTTTTCCGGTGACGATGGTCCATGCCTTCATTTTCAGGCGACTGCTGTACAGAACCAACAACTCTGTGTTGTTATGTTGTGTAAAATAAAATATTCCATAAACACAATCCGCCGGCGTACCCACCAATCCCCGGCATCGTCCTCGGCGCACCTCTTTGGAATGCTCGGGGGGGGGTCATGGAGCTTCGTTTGCTTCCCTCTACTGCACGGAGAGGGAGGGGAGCCCGACAGAGAATGGGGGGGGTGGCCGCGGGGCTGGGCTGGGGGCTGGGGGGGGACAGACCTCCCAGCCCAGTTTCCTAGGCTCCTGTGGGTGGGATGGGGGGGGCGGGGTCTCTGGAGGGGGAGCCGGACAGAGAATGGGGGGGGTGGCCGCGGGGCTGGGCTGGGGGCTGGGGGTGGACAGACCTCCCAGCCCAGTTTCCTAGGCTCCTGTGGGTGGGATGGGGGGGGCGGGTTCTCTGGGTGGAACCAGCAGTAGTTGTGGTTATGCTTCCAGTCTTGCACTTCTTTTAAGAGCTGTGAGTCACCTTTCCAAAGTCAACACACACTCCCCCGGCATAAGTCCAATAAAATAGTATTAAACAATACAGAAGCAAAACTGTCTACCTGAGGACCCCCCCCTCCCGAGGTGGGTAATGTATAAAATTCTCTTCATCCCAATCTCCCCCCAGATGTGGGGGTCCTGAACGACTCGCTCTTTGTCCCAGTATGGGACGCCTTGGATTCAGGGGGCGGGGGAGGGCTCTGAGCCCAGGCAGCAGGATGGCCTCTCGATGGCCACGGTCGATCACTGCGGGAGGGGTCCTTGCAGGCGGCTGGGGGCCCCTGGCGCAGGTGCTCTTGGACTACATTGCAGCGCAAAAAGAAGCGTCATGCAGGGGATGTGTGTGTGTGGGTTTTTGTACTGGGATTTAAATCCCCTTCCCCAGTAAGAGTCAAAAGAGAATGTTGTGTGCAAGCCCCGTCACATCATATAATTTTAAGAATAAGAGGTACACGCCAGCTATCCAAGAACGGGTGTCCATGGCAACTGTAAACGAAGGCCAAGGCATCTGGTCAACACTTTTCCTGTACATGTGGCATGATCACGGGCACCCCAAATCAGGAAATCACTCTTGGTAAATCCATTTGTTCTCCCCCCCACCCCACCCCACATACACACCCCTTGACGATGCTCAGGCAATTTGGGTTATGGAAATGGTGCCGGGAGGAGAGTGTGTCCCGTCTCCTGGGAGTCCCGATCCACACCAGACTCCAGAACTGCATTTGCAGAGAGGAACTCACGGAACATCGGACCGAAGATCCTCGTGGGTGACCTTGAGGCAACCGTAATGAGTAGCGTGACCCTTAGAGAGTGTCCTTGGCGTCTGGTAGGCCCAAAGCAGCTCCTGAAGCCCTTCTCCCTGATCTCAACTGTTGCTGAATGATTTACATCTCTCATTAAATAATTTATGCTACGTTGGCTGCCTTTTCGAACTGTGATAAGTGTGTGCATACTTCCTGGCCCATGGTGTTAATTTTTGGGGGGCGGGGCGGGAAGGGCGACACGCGAAGTAATGTAGCCAGCTGTGCCCCTGGCGGTCGGAAGTGCATCCTAGAAATGCTCGAGGTAAGTCAGGAGGCCGGCAGAGGGGGATGTGGGTCGCAGGGTGCCCCAGGACCAGGAAGAGGGGAAGTCATCCGCTCATCCCTCGAGGTTTCTTTCCTTGCACGTCCCACCTCTGTGCAGCCAGGACGACTGAGGGGTGACATGATTGAGGTTTATAAGATTATGCATGGGAAAGAGCAGGTAGAGAAATAGGTACTTTTCTCCCTTTCTCACAATGCAAGAACTCGTGGGCACTCCATGAAATTGCTGAGCAGTCGGGTTGGAATGGATAAAAGGAAGTACTTCTTCACCCAAAGAGTGATTAACACTTGGAACTCACTGCCACAGGAGGTGGTGGTGGCTACAAGCATGGACGGCTTCAAAAGGGAATTAGATAGGCATATGGAGCAGAGGTCCATCAGTGGCTATTAGCCACAAGGTATAGATAGGGACTCTGGGGCAAGTGATGCTCTGTCATCTTGGTGCTTGGGGGGGGGTCAACAGAGGGCGGGCTTCTGATGTCCTGGCCCCACTGGTGGGCCTCCTGATGGCACCTGGTATCTTTGGCCACTGTGGGATACAGAGTGTTGGACTGGATGGGCCTTCGGCCTGATCCAACACTGGCATCTCTTATGTTCTTATGTTCTTAAGGGGTTTCGGAATGGACAGCTGTTCTCCCCACACACACACAGGCTGCCACCAGCCATCCCCCTCCGACGGGTGACTCCAGTTCCCAAACAGCCCCCCCCCCCCAGCACAAGGCAGCATCTGCCCGGATCAGGCAGCTCTTGTCCCTTTGTTCAGAAGTCGCATTTGCTGCCCCCGCTCCTCTCTCTGCATCTCCAGAGTCTGTCGGCATGAAAGATGAAACCTGAGTTTGTAACCCAAAACTCCCTCTGAAAAGGAAGGGCCTCGCCTGAGGAGCTGGGTGTGGGGCACAGAAGGCCCTGGCCTTGGCCTTGCCCCCTTTCACCTCTTGTGGAGGGGAGGGGCAGAGCGCCAGTCCCTCACAAATGGCTGGCTTCACCTTGGCCATCCCCCAAGGGTGAGCACGAAAAGGCACTGCCCTGGCCTCGAGAGAGACGGAGACCATGGAGAAGTCGCCCGGCCTCCGTCTCAGTGGCTCCAGCACAGCTGGCAAGGGCTGATTCAGCCTGGTCTGTGGCTCGTGTTGCAGGGTGTAGCGTGGCCTCGTGGCTGCAACATCCAGCACCAGATTTCCAAGTATTTTGCATAATTCAGTTACTTTTTTGGCGTGGGGGGGGGGAAGACAGCTGAAGGGTCCTTGAAGATGGCAAAAAAAACCCCCAGGCCTGGAGAAGGAAAGGGGTCAAACCCCGAAGGCTTCATCTCACCCAGCTGGGGAGAGGGCTCTGGGTCAGGAGGAAGGATCTCCATGGCTGCACTGTGCATGCCTCTCTCTCCCTTGGAATCTTTCCCTCGGCAGTCTCTCCTGGGCGGGGCCGTGGCTGCCTGATTCAGGGACATTTTGTCCTCTCTCCAGAGCCTCCTCGTCTTGCTTGTAAATCCCTTGTTGTGCACGCTGAAGCGGCAGTTTGGAGATGCAAATCCCAGCCAAGGGCCGTTTTGCAAAGAAGATGCTCAGCATCACCCGCATCCCATTCCATGGTCTCCTCCTCTCTTCTTCTTTTTTTAATTACACCCTTTGAAATCCATTAACTTCAACAGATTCAAAAAAAGAAAAAACAACAACAGTACAGGAAAGGGAAAAAACTCAAAATCCAGCAACTGGAAAAGTATGTATATTAAGCTAAAACAAAAAATATAACGGTGGCATAAGTTTCTATAAAAGATTCCCAAATATCTAAATGCAATGCATCTGTATGCCATGCATTCAAGTACTGGTAAGTTCTAAGGTCCTCAACTGATTATTGTACAGGATGTGTTGTGATATAAGCCTTTTTGCAAGAGTAAGAGCACAGAGGTCCTTTTTCATTGACCATGGGTTAGCCTCTAAGAGATGGGCAGCTAGTTTAAAGGTACACAAACACCCGCTGAGCATTCCTTTTATTTAGCATATACAGGTCATTTCGTAGAAAAAGAGGTTCAGGAGCTCATTAGCATAGCTTATTAGCATAACTTATTTGCATATGCCACACCCCCTGACATCACCGGAAGTGTGTCAGAAGGCAACACCCACCGCTCAGGCGCCACGACTGTTTTGGATTGCTAGCTATGGGGGGGGGGGGGACGCACAGATCTGCCCTCACAGAGGAGGGAGAGCTTGTACCTGAAGGTGGGCTGGGAGGGGGGGCTCTGCAACTTACCTGGCTGCTTCTTGTTCCTCGTGGCCCAACTGAGGGCTGCTGGGAGCAGGGGTTGGGGCTTGTTGCATGTGCCCGCCCCCTGGGCTCCTTACTGCCGGAGCTCCGCTCCTGTGTGCTCCCACAGGAAATGACCCCTGAGCATATAAAACAATACACATGCCACATCAATACAGGATCGATTACCTCCCCAAATAATGATAGTTTTTGTTTTTATCTATCAAACAAGCTATAACTAAGAAACCCCCACAAAATCGAAGTACTTCTTAGGTATTGAGGAGTTCTCCTCCTCTCTTCTCTCGCAGGCCTCCCTGCTGCCTTTAAGCCGGAACGGTGGCTGCCGCAGAGCAGGGGGGCTTGGGGCCGCCACTCTGTGGGGACGGAGGGTCTCTGCTGGGCAGCTGATGTCTCAGGCTGATCCTTTCGCCATCAGGGAGGAGATGTTCCCGTGTTCCCTCTGGAGCTCGGTGGGACTGTGCGCTGGGAGTGCCCCATGCTCTAGTGCTGATAATGCGGTCTCTTGGGTACTATTGTGGCGTTTCTGAGCATGCTTTCAGGCCCCGGGGCAGGCGTTGCTCTCAAGATGTCTTCTGTTCTTTGGCACTTGTGGTTTTCCAAAGCTGAATTCAGGGAGTCTGTGATGCCACTTAAGTGGCTGCCTTGTTCCCTTTTTAAGAAGGA